TTTGTCATTTTGAGACAGGGTCTCCCTGTAGCCCCAGCTGTCCTGGAACTCACTATGTAGACCAGGCTGGCCTTGAACTCTCAGAGATCCGCCTGCCTCTGCCTCCCAAGTACTGGGACTACAGGCGTGCGCCACCACACCTGGCTTCAGTTCCATCTTTTAACCCATATTTAACATGTACATCTGTTTGTTGGCTTGTTTCTGGATATTTTTTAATGGTGACATTTGCTCACCATTGTGCATTTAAGATTCATTCATTTGGTTATATGTAGCAACAGGTTTACTTCATTTTTCTTTTTAAAAATTTGTGTGTGTGTGTGTGTGTGTGTGTGTGTGTGTGTGTATCATACATATGCGGACACATGCTTGCCATAGTGCACATATGGCGGTCAGAGCACAACTTTTGGGAGTCAGTTCTCTTCTACCATATGGGTCCCAGGGATCAAACTGAGATCATCAGACTTGGCAAGAAACACTTTTACCTGCTGAGCCATCACATCAACCCGATTTTTCTTTTTATTAAGTTTATTTGGTGTGTGTGTGGGTGCACGTGTTCATGCCCACATAGCGTCTACTTAGAGATCAGAGGACAGCTTAAGGGAATCAGTTCTCTTTTTCTACCATGTGGTTACCTGAGGATCCAACTCAGGTCATCAGGCTTGGCAGCAAGTGCCTTTACCCACTGAGCCATCTTGCCAGCCCTTATTCATTTCTCATTACTGTATAATATTCAGCTTATATAGTGTATATAATGCTGTGTGAGATGTCACAAATTGTCCAATCTGATGTTAATGGACATTTGAGTATTTCCAACTTTGGACAGTTTAGACCTGTGTTGCCACAAGCTTTCTCGTTTTGTTTCCTACACATGCTCAAGTTTCCTTTGGATGTACAACTAGAACTCAAAGTGTTAAGTTGTAGGAATATGACTTTTAACTTTACAATGTAATGCCAAGGTTGTTTTTGTTTTTGTTTTTGTTTTTACATAGTTGGGCCAATTGATACTCCTATCAGCAGTGTGTAAAAGTTCTCTGTAATTAGTCTGCCATCATCTGGCTCTGCTTTTTTGCTAATATATTGGGTGTAAAATGGTCATTATAGTATGAATTGTATTTCTAAGTTGCAGATTAACAATAAGATCAAATTTCTTTTCATGTTTACCAACCAGATGTGTTTTTCTCCATGATGCTCATTCCCAGGTTTGCCTATTTTTCCTATTGTGCTTTTTTTCTTTGCTTATTTTGATCCTAACATGGGCAGTCATATGACTTCTTCGTGTTTGTTGCTTATCTGTTCACTTTCAGGTGTTTTTTAAAAAACATACTTTCTTTTTTCTCTTTTTTTTTTTTTTTTTTTTTTTTTTTTTTTTTGATCTTTTTGAGACAGGGTCTCCCTGTAGCCCCAGCTGTCCTGGAACTCACTATTTAAACCAGGCTGGCCTTGAACTCACAGAGATCTGCCTGCCTTTGCCTCTTGAGTGCTGGGATCAAAGGTGTGTGCCACCATGCCCGGCAAAACATACTTTCTTAATTTTATTATAGCCATCTGTTTGCTTTTCTATCATTATTATTTTTCTGTCTTCTTTAAAAAAAAACATTTTAACCAGCTTATTGAAGTCATCTGTCACATAGCCGTGAGTCTCTGCTGGGTTCTCTATTCTGTTCCTTTGGTCAGTTACCTACTTTTAATTATAGTAGCTGTCTAATGCAACATGGTAGTCCATAAGACTAATATTCTGAGATTAAACTCAGTTCCAAATAATAATTGTAAGCTATAATGTCAAAAGGGCCCCTTTTTCCCTAAATTTTAAAAATACTTTTACTTTATGTGTATGAGTGTTTTGTGTACTCATGTTCTGCAGTACCCACGGAGGCTAGAAGAAAGTATCAGGTTCTCAGGAACTGGACGGTTGTAAGCCACCATCTGGGTGCTGGGAACTGAACCCCGGTCCTCTGCAAGAATAGCCAGTGCTCCTAACTGCTGAATCATCTCTCTAGCCCCTAGAAAAGGGCCTTTTTTCTTGATAAATGAATTTATAGCACATGTGCTCTAACAGTGGTTCAAGAGATGAATTACCACAAAATGTGTCCTTTAGAAGGCAGAAAAGCATGAGGTGGAGTGCACATCACGAGGGAGGGGTTGCTATAGATCATTCAGGAACCAGTAGAAAAGACAGCATTTGGGCTCAGGTACAGGTAAGTAGATACTTGGGGTGACATCTTGTAAAAATTCTCATGTGATTGTTTCTGTTTCTAAGAAAACAAGGTTAGCACTTGAGTGAGAACAGGAAAAAGTTGAATTTTCAATGTTGAAGAGGTCTAAAATAGAAGAATAGGAGAGTGAATGGACTTGAAAATACATGGTTATTGTCAGGCAGCAGTAAGGGCTTACTTGGGATCATTGGTCATTAATTTGAAGTGGAAGCAGTGCGAATGTTTAGCTATACAGGTACAGAGAGGGCAGAAAATTTTTTAAAGATTCTTTTATTGAATTTTTTTAAAAAAATTTTATTGAACTTTTGTAATTTCATACAACAGTTCTTAATCAAATTTAGACCCCCTCCCCCATCCGTGCCCCCTCATACCCCCACTGAACGGCTTGTATTCCACCATGCATGTTAAATCCTATCCAGTCAAGCATTTATACCCAGATATCCTTTAGTGTAAATTCATCCACTGGAGTCTAGTCAATCCATCTACAGGTCATATGTAAGGCATATTCTCCCTCATCCAGGAGCAGTCCGTCTCCAGTGGTTCTCAGTCTAGGACCAGCCTGGTACCTATTTCTCCCCCCGCCAGGCCCTTTTTTGAGTTGGCATGGGTCCTTGTGCTCGATGCCACCATTGCCACAAGTTCATATATGCAAACTTCCAGTAGCCTGAAAGCCTCTGCTTCCCTATGTTCATGAACCAACCCTGGCTCTTACAATTTTTCTGCCTCTTCTTCCACAATGGTCCCTGAGCCATAGGTGAGAGTTGGGTTTGGGGCTAGAGAAATGGCTCAAAAGTTAAGAGCACTGACTGCTCTTGCAGAAGACCTTGGTTTGAATCCCAATACCCACATGGCAGCTAACAACTGTCTGTAACTCCAGTTCCAGGGGATCCAACACACCCTCTTCTGTCCTCTGTGGGCATTATACGACATGGGTGCACTTATATACATGCAGGCATGACATTCATACACATAACATTAAAATAATTCATTGGGTTTTGTGCATTTCATATAATACATTTTGATCATATTAGATGTCTTCCCCTATCTGTATCCTATAGCTCCCCACTGGATTTCATACATTCTGTCATATATGTTAAGGCCTATCAAGTCAAGTTTGTGTCCCCATATATCCCTCAGTGTGAGTCCATCCACTGGAGCCTGGTCTAGCATCACTCCCTTAAAGAAGACCAACTCTCCCTCACCCATCAGTGATCAGTTGCCAATAGTTCCTCAGCTAAGGATAAGGCTTCTTACCCATTTCTCCACTTCTGTGCTGGGTTTTTATCTGGTTTGAGTTTGCGTGGGTCTTGTCTTGTGCATGCTGTCACCACTGCTGTAAGTTCACATGAGCAGGTTGAGGGCAGGGAATTTAATTCAGCTAGAATTATAACAAAGGAGGTTAGGGGCTAGGGAACTGATTGGGGTAGGGGTGAGGGTATAACAATGTAATAAAAAATGTGTTAATTTATTAATTGGATTTTTGGTGTTCAATTTTTATAATTCTTTATACATTCTAGATACTAATCCCCTGTTATATATAGATATATAGTTGGCAAAGATTTTTCCCCCATTCTGTAGGTTGTCTTTCCACTTCTTTTTCCTTTATTGTAACAGAAGATTTTTAAAATTTCATATAATCCCATTTGTCAATTCTTGGGATTATTTTCTATGCTATCAGAGCCTTCTTTAGAAAGTCCTTAACCTGTGCCTTGATGTGCTTTGCCTATGTTTTTCTTTTTGATAAAAATTTTCTTTATTGATTCAAACTTTCATTCCTGCATATATGTTTTGGTGAATTCTACCCCTCATTCCCTCCCCTCCAGGAGGATCTTTGATCCATTTTGAATTGATTTTTGTGCAGGGTGAGAAAGATAGATCTAGTTTCATTCTCTCACAAATGAATATCCAGTTTTCCTAGAACCATTTATTGAAGAGGCTTTTTTCCCCCAGTATATGCTGATAAGAACAAAAACTGTGAGTAGCTGCAGCTCTGTGAGTTTATTTCTGGGTCCCGTGTTCTGTTCCATCTGTCTTCATATCTGTTTTGATGCCATACTATTTGTGTTGCTATAGCTCTGTAGTGTAGTTTGAGATCAAGTATTGTGATGTCTCCAGTATTACTCTTTCTGTTTAGGATTGCTTTGGCTATTTTGCAGTCTTTTGTGCTTCCATGTGAATTTTAAGATTGTGTTTTCTAGTTCTGTAACAATGTCATTGACATTCTGATGGGTATTACATTGATTACATAGATCACGTTCATTCAGTAATATATCCATTTTCACAATATTGATGCCGCCAATCCATGAGCATAGGCGATCCTTCTATCCTTAGTGCCTAGTTTCTTCAGTGTCTTAAAAGTTTTCATTGTAAAAGTCTTCGACTTTCTTGATTACATTTATTCCTAGATAGTTTTTAGAGCTATTATGAATGAGTTTTTCCTGATTTCTTTCTCAGCTCATTAGTATATAAGCAAGTCTGCTAGTTTCTGTGCTTTAATCCCAGCACTTAGGAGGCAAAGGCAAGTGGATCTCTGTGAGATTGAGGCCAGCCTGGTCTACACAGCAAGTTACAGACCAGGCGGAGCTACAGGAAGACGCTGTCTCAAAAACAAACAAACAGATACCCCCCCCAAAAAAAAACTAGGGAAGGAAAGAGTTCATTCATTTGGTTTACACCAGATCACAATCCATCACTGATAGAAGTCAGGGCAGGAATTCAAGGCAGGATCTTGAAGCAGAAACCATGGAGGAGCTCTGCTTGCTCACTGACTCATCCTCAGCTAGCTTTCTAATGCAGCCTAGGGATGGTTCCACCTACAGTGGGTTGGACCTTCCCACATCATTTATCAGTAAAGACAATCTCTCACAGACAGGGCCACTGGCTACTTACTACATGATATCTGAGATGGGAAGTCTTTCAATGGAGATTCCCTTCTCAGGTGACTAGTTTGTATCAAGTTGACAGTTGAGGCTAACTAGGGCAGAACCTGAGCTTTTCATATTCTGGTCCTGTAAAATCCTTTGGACTATCTGGCACTTCAAATAGCTTTTACTTGTTTAGAAATTATCGGTTTACCAACTTTTTTGGGTCTTTCATAAATACTGATTATTTCATTATATTTTAATCATTTTTTAAAATATTGTCTTTTCTTTAGAATTATTTAAATGTAAAGAAGCTTTCAAATTATAGAGGATTCAAAAATTATAATTTTCCCTTTAAATTTTGTCACTGACAACAAATATGATCAATTTTTTTCCTATGAATTAGTAAGTCACTTTCTTTTTTCTTTTTTTTATGTAGACCAGGCTGGCCTCTATCTCACAGAGATCTACCTGCCTCTGCCTCCTGAGTTCTGGGGTTAAAGGTGTGCGCCACCACTGCTGACCCCTTTTTTAAAATTTTTATTTTATTTTTTGGGCTGGAGAGATGGCTCAGCAGTTATGAATGCTGGCTATTCTTTCAGAAGACCCGGGTTCAAATCCCAGCACCCACATGGCAGCTAACAACTGTCTGTAACTCCAGTTCCAGGGGATCCGATAGCTTCTTCTGTCCTCCGCAGGCATTGCACAACATGGGTGCACTTGACCTACATGCAGGCAATACATGTATACACATAAAATAAAAATAATTTTAAAAGTTTTTTAATTATTTTTACAAAATGTCAAATACTAAAGTTTTTACTAGTGTGTATTGGTTATACAATATGGGTTTCATTATGAAGTTTTCATACATGTGTATATACAGTCATACTTACCCCACCACCCTGACCCTCCTTGTCCCCCTCCCACCTCAGCTCAGCTTCTTCCTCTTCCCAAATAGAACCCCGTCTACTTTCATTTTGTATTTTAAATCTAAAATCTACATATGAGAGAAAATATGTTTTGTCTTTCTTTTTTTTTTTTTTTTTTTGTTGGTTTTTTTTTTTTTTTTTTTTTTTTTTTTGGTTGGTTTTTTTTTTTTTTTTCAGTCTTTTTTTGAGACATGATCTCCCAGTAGCCCCAGCTGTCCTGGAACTCACTATGTAGACCAGGCTGGCCTTGAACTCACAGAGATCCACCTGCCTCTGCCTCCCGAGTGCTGGGATTAAAGGCATGCACCACCACGCCCAGCTGTTTTGTCTTTCTAAGTGTGGTTTATCTTATTTAGTACATGATCTCTAGTTTTATCCATTTTTCTGCACACAACATAGTTTCATTCTTCTGACTGAATAAAACTAGAATGTGTGTGATATTTTCTTTATCCATTCATAGGCACTTAGCCTGATTCCATCACTAGACTGTTGGTGACTAGTTCCACGATAAACATTGGTGTGCAGGTGCCTCTATTGTATGGTAGACTTGGATTCTTTTGGAATATATCCAGGAGTTTTTGCAGGATCAGTGATAGTTCTGTTTTTAATTGTTGGTATTTTTTTGTTGTGAAATTTTGTGTGTATGTGTATATACCAAAGGTCAATATTGAAAGTCCTCTCCTATCATCCCTTCCCCCTTTTTAAAGACAAGGTCTCTCATTGAACCTAGAGCCCACAGTTTTTGCTAGCTAGCCTGGCTGACCAGTGAGCCCCCTGCCTTTCTTTTCCTCCCTGGCATGAGTTCTGGCATTACAGATATGAACTGTTATGCCCAGCTTTTAATGATGCTGGGGATCTGAACACAGGACCTCATGCTTGAGCAGCAAGATTTTTCCCTCTCAGCCATCTCTTAAGCCTCTATTTTTAGTTATTTGAAGAACCTCCATACTGATTCCACAGTAGCTATGCTAGTTTACATTTCCATCAACAACGCATAGGTTCCTTCTTCCACCTGTATTCATGCCAGTATTTGTTTATTTTCTATTTTTCCAAACATATATTTTATTAAATTTCCATATGTTTCATGTATCTTAATCATATTTAGACTCCTTCCCTTAACCTGTACTTCATATAGCCTCCTCCCACCAGATTTCATGCGTTCTGTCATATCTGTTAAGGCCTATCAAGTAAAAATAAGGAACACTTCATGAATTTGATGTCATCCTTGCAAAGGGGCCATGCTGATCTCTATATTATTCCAATTTTAATGTATGTGCTGCTGAAGTGAGCACTGATGTTTTCTTGATGATAGCTATTTCTTCTGGGGTGAGAAGGCACTTCAATGTAGTTTTGATTTGATTTCACTGATGGCTAACAATGTTAAGCATTTTTTCACTACTTATTAGCCATTTATATTTCTTTTAAGAACTGTTTAACTTACCAAATATCCAAATCATAATATCAAATTTTTGTCACAGAAAAATGGTGCTTCATGAGAAAGGTCCTTATGATGTCTGCCTGCCATGCTCTGGGCATCCTTCAGCTTTGCTGCCATCCTGTAGCCTTTCAGTGTGCCTCCTATTCACATACCTCAAAGTGGAATCTGATTGGATTCTTCAGATGTTAGCTGGCATAGCTGTGTGTGGCACAGAAGGTACCAGTGGGGCTTGAGCACCATGTCTGCTCTTTATGCAGAGGAGGCTTCAGGCTTGACAGATACTCAAAGTACCACGTCCAGAATAATATCTGTACCATCATGAATTAAAATATATAGGTATGAATACAGTAATGATAATAGCCGTTTAAAAGTCATAGACTTTATGTGGGGCATGGTGGTGCATGGCTTTAATCCCAGCACTGGGGAGGCAGAGGTAGGCAGATCTTTGTGAGTTTGGGGCCAACCTGGTCTACATAGTGAATTCCAGGCTAGCTGGGGCTACTGGGAGACCTTGTCTCAAAAAGACCAAAAGGGGGAGGGGGCAGCTGGAGAGATGGTTCAGCAGTTAAGAACACTGACTGTTCTTGCAGAAGACCTGGGTTCAATTCCCAGCACCCACATGGCAGCTAACAACTGTGTAACTCCAGTTCCAGGGGATCTGACAGTCTCTTCTGTCCTCCATGTTCATTGCACGACATGGGTGCACTTATCTACATGCAAGCAATACATGCATGTACATAAAATAAAAATAGTAAATTTTTTAAGACCAAAAAAAGTCATAGACTTTATAATTTGCTTCTACAAGCACCCGTTTAATAGCACCTTGGTTAAGAACAAAAAAAGGTGTTAATAGTCTGAGACTCCTGTCAGATCTGTTCAGAATACATTCTTTAATGTGAACTGAGTGGTTAATATTAATAAAAGATGTTGCTGAAAAAGATTTCTTTAGTTGATTAACAATTTTTCATTGTTTGGGTATTTTCTTCTTTCCAAGGGAGGAGAGTCCTCCAAAGTTTCTGTCTGAGTATCATCTTAGATCTAATGTTTTATTTTCTTAATGAATAATTAAGAGTTAATAGGCACTATATTTTTCAAGTTCACAGATTGTAGATGTGATTTTTTTTTTGTTTTAAGATCAGCTTTCTCATTTTGGTAAAGACAGAGAAGGCTAAGAAATATATTTCTACCATCTTAAGGGAATGGTAGGCTTGGTAGCTTTTTCCCTTTTGAAGGTCCTATAATTGTTTGTATACTGTAAGTGTAATATATATAATATATATATATGAATGAATGAATGACACAAGATCCCCCTTTTGTCCATCTCATGAGAACTAAATGGGGTTATTATATTTAGATTAATGAGGAGGAAAACAAAAATAGCATCTTCTTGGGGAAATATAACCGATACAATTTAAAGTGGAATCTAAATTAAAATGTAATTATGGGGCCTGCAAAAGCACTTGCCACCAAGCCTGCTGACCTGAGTTTGATCCCGAGTCCACAGGGTAGAAGGAGAGAACTGACTCCTACAAGTTGTCCTCTCACCTCTACATGTGCTCTGCATGTATGCACACACAACAGGTACACATAAAAATAAATGTAAAAAATGTTTAATTCTTTTATGAACAGGAATATCTTATCTTTGTCCCATATATGCCACAGAAATGTTAGAAGAAATCTAAGCTTCCTCTGTTTCATCTTTTCTGTCTTTTTTCAAAAGCACATAGTCTTGAGACTAGACATACTGATTTTGTTAACTCTGGTACTTCTTTAAGCCACATATGCCATAAGTAAATAAGTTGTATGTATTTTGAAGAATAATCTCTGTGTACTCTGTGTAATTTTAAATTTTATGCACTTTACCAACTTCTTCCTGACAACGTAGTCCAAGAGATTATATCTTTCTCTAGTGACTTGGTGTATATCAGAAATAGACATTTCCCTGAGGGGTGAAGAGTACATACCTACTACAAAGTTCACTTTGTGACGTTTTCTTAAAGCAGAATACTAAAAATAACATTTTTACCTTTTGATAGGTAAAAACAGTAACACAGCCCATGGGTGTGCATAGCTTTTGTTGCTAGTGCCCTGACTCATCTAAAGGCTTGTTTTCTTTGTTTTTTTTACAGACCTAACTACCGTAATGAATGCTGCACATTGAGAGAAACCACAAGAAGGTTAAATGTTTGATTTTCTGAATTCTTGAATTTGATATGAACCAACACATAGTCTTTGTTGTCATGACAGAACCCCAGTTTGTGTGCACATTATTCACATTCCTCTTTGTTCTTTTTTTGGAGGGGGGAGACATTTTAACCTTTTTTAAGGTTATTGATTTAAGTTCATGTTATTTGGTTGCATGAAGTTGTCCTTAACCACTAAGAATTATCAAGATTTTGCACAGAATTCTCCGTTCTAGGATCATTTACCAAGGCAGTTCTGGCCATCATCTTCCTGCCTTTACCGCACCATTATCAAATACTCAGTTAAGTAGTAATTCACATTCTTTTAGATGACCGTGCAACACAATGCTTAAGAATGGAATTTGCTCTCTAGCAGAACCCAAGAACCAATTCCTAGATACATACTATTGGTATATTAAAGATGAAATTAAAATTGTCTTTCAGTTTTGAGGCCATCTGTAAAATTTAACCATATTGTACAGTATCTATTCTGTATTAGAAATAGCTAGTTGACAACTTACACTTCTTAAAACTCATGTTGTTATGTACACAAACTGAGTTCATATATGTGAAGTTAGTGAGTCTTTTGTGTTATACCAAAATAAAGGCAAAGATTTATTTTTTCTCAATGCCAATATGATTTGAGCTAATCACTCAAGATGATCACTTTACACTCAAAGCTGAGATCAGCAGCAGCCCCATGGGAAACCAGGCAAAGCATTGACTGTAACCGTAGACTTTTAAAATAAACTTTTCTTTTTGTTTTGGAACTAGTGTTAGAATAGCTAATATTCATCTGCAAACCATTACTATGTATACATTATTGTTGCTATTGTGATAATAGAGAATTTTATTTATTTTTATGCCAGCTTATATTGTGAAAACACGTTTAGTCAATTTGGGTTTTATCAATCCTGTTATGCTTGTCCTTCAAACATCTTTCACGTATACGAGGTTTGTAGTTGAAAAGTTTACTGTAAAAAAAAAAATCAAAAACAACAACAAAAAAAGTATTGTTTTTACAGAATAAATTTTTTGGGATGTGTACTGGGAGTAAGGTTTGAAGTTGTCATCAGCTAAGTTAGTGTAATTTGACTTCATATATGTAATGTGAAGTATTAATGTAATTCATATATTCAAAAATTATTAATAGCAAGTTGGCAATAGAATCAAGTGCAGGTGAGGATTTTCTTTTTTTCTTTTTTTTTCCTGTCCTTTGTATTTTTTGGTTTTGCATAGTCTATATTTTAGGCTGATTGAAAAACACTGAGAGGGTCAGGAGGGAATGATGAATAAATCTGACTGCACATCTAAGAAAATACCAGGTCGGTGGCCCCTAGGTTCATACACTACCGTATGCACATATTAATATGCATACCATTTTCTTTTGGTTTTCTCATTTTGGTAAAGAGCTACTAAACATAAACAGAAAATAGAAGACCACCAAAAGCCCAGGACCATGGTGATGATGACAGTGATGGACTCTGAGGAATACATGGACCAGTCTACTTACCATTCCAGGGCATATTGAGGAGGCAGTTGTGTTTCTGTCATTTAGCAAGTGCTGGTTTTCTCTTTTATACGCACACAATTCCAAATAGGAAAAGTTCATTAAAAGACAGGGATACCAATCCAGTTCTTTTTCTTTAAAAGGTACTTTTTAATTTTCTGTATATTTTTTGTTTGTTTTGTGTTTTGTTTTTTTTTTTGACAGGGTCTCACTAGTTCCAGCTCGCCTGGAAGTCTGTGGTCTCAATCTCACAGAGATCCGCCTGCCTCTGCCTCCGAAGGACTGGGATTAGTACAGCCATTAAAGGCTCAGGCTCACAACCAATATTTTGTTTTAAAATTAATGAAATTCATCAAAAGGCCTCTTCATTGCTCACACTAAAACATAAGAAGACTATTTTGATTGGAAGATATAGCAAGCAGATTTATTTAAAAATCAATTTGTCAAGAAAAAAATATATATGTAAAATGTTTTAAATTTAATAAA